AGAGTCTCCAACCCCAACTGTGGCCATGCATATTACGCTCTCAAATAATCTTTATGGCGAGCCCAGATAAAAAATTGTAGTCCGGTTCGAATTAGCGTCGCTACTACCCCGAAGGCTGTTCATTACACCGAATACACTATACAGGCAACGTACATAGCCAGCTGTGTTTAATGATCAGTTCACTGCATAGCAAAAGGGGTAACTGTGAAATAATACCATAAATCTTATTCCTGGAAATTATTTTTCTGATGAGGGCTTAGACACTGGTTCAACCCCTTTTTATGCCGGAGGCTTGCAGCTCACTGGGAGGTCAACCCAAACTTAACAACTGACGCACTGATATGCAAATAACCGAGGCACAACGCATATTATAGCTACGTCATGATACATATTCACATGACAAAATTTAAATGGTCAGGTTTCCTTCACTCAAGCACGGTCCTATGAAACTATTAAAGCCTATAAACAAGGTAAAAACTACAAAATCCATCAAACCTACAGGACTTTGACAATAAACTGTTTTAAAATTTCATCCTTTTTTATTTTATCTTTAAACTTTTTATGTATTCCCGTTACAGGTCGGCTACCAAAAACAAAACTAAAGGCGTATTAATATTTACACATATTTACGGATTTAAATTTAGTTGCCAAGTACTGTGATCGGGAAGAAAACGGATATCTAGAATTATAGGATCAACATGGTTAAAATGGGACGGGACAGGGAAGCCATTCTCAACGTGAATGCAACAAGCACCGGACGTGGTATGTAGACGTAGAGAGACACACAAGATGTCGCTTGTAATACTCAACTTTGATGTATTGACCCAACTAACTACCCGGGGTACTGTCATACATACATGTAGGCGTCCTCAGAAACTACAGCCCAGAAGGAAGAAATTCCACTTCTTAAAGGAACAAAGTATTAAATGAAAGCAGTCGATGTGCAAAGCTCTTCTATCAAACACAGACTACGTACACTTTATTCATACTGCAACAGCAATGTCCCTACACCTCCAGGGGTCGAAATTAGTGGTAGTCCGCTAGCCCGAGGCTAGTGGTTTTAGTTGGAGGACTAGTAGTTCCTACTTGTCGGTAGTCCGACGGGCTAGTGCCTTTTTTAGCGTGGGCATGAAAAGAAATACACACCGTAAATGTAACACCATGCCGTGCAGTGGTATTTTGATTGCAGATGCACGTACATGTACATTTGTACAGCCTACCGTTACACTGTAGACACGACGGGTTCTTTCCAGACACAACACAGCCCATGCGTACATGTATTCACGTCGAGCTGATACTCTACACACGTAGGCCAGCCACACGACATTGTACGCATCATTAATATTTCCTCTGCTAACGCAAGTATGACAAAAAATTGTGAATGTATGCTGTTTTGGGTTACTTTAACTTAAAGTTTTAATGTGAAAATCCTTTATTGGCTTGCAAAAACTAAAGTGAACGTTGCTAGTCTGGGGACTAGAATCGTGGAAAGTAGCAGTGTTCGCCTCCTGGACCTGCATGCCTGCTGGAAAGTAACATAAAATGTGGAATAGCAAATATAAGGCATATTAAACCATACTTATATACATGTAAATGAAAAGAATCCTGCGTTGTTTTACTGTACTTAGGCCTAGGCCTATTAGCATTTTTGTATGAGTACTGAAAAACTCAAAGGACTAGTCAAACAAGGACATTACTAGTCCTGTGGGCTACC